TCCCACCGTTGCCTGCAGCAATGCATTCGCCTGCTCCACAGCTAGGAGTCGCTCCGACAGAGAGCAGTAGTCCTGCGAGGCAGCCGGCGCACGACATGCTCCAAAATGTCAAGAGCGTCCGCACAGCAATATGCTACATCAGCATGACGCTCTGCGGAGCTCCGAAGACGAAGGACCTCGTTCTTAGGGGCTCGAAGAGCATCACGAGTCACCGGACGGAAGTCGACCCGGTCGTCACCGTCCTCTTCTCGATGAGAACGGTGACGCCCACTATCATGTTGAACGTCTTGTTGGACGACGTCGTCACCAGGTTAAACCCAATATCTGGTAAAGTGGCGGGGATATCCTGACTCCGAAAACTCGTAGGAGTTTGAGGCGCCACTTTGGCAGTCGCCGTGGACGCTTTTGGTCGGAAAGATCAGGACGTCCCGCGTCATCAGACGCCCCGCGCTTCCTAATAATAGCCAGGGAGGTAGACGGGCCATGAGCTGAGCTCAAGCAGTGGCCCTGAGCTTTTGCGGTCGAAGACACAGAGCTCGCGGGAGCGTTAGGGGTTAACCCATACATCGCAGTGCGACAATCCGAAGGAAGTCGACGGCGTGTCATGAGTTTGGCAAACTCAGAGCGGAGGTGTCGCTCCACAACCACTTCCACTTTCTTGTGGCTCAACTGCAGGTTATGCAGTAAGGAAAGTTTTCGGTGCCGTTGCAACCATCTGTACTGCTTTCGCCAAAGGCGAGCACTACTCATCGAGCCTAGGATATACACCCCGTAGGTGCTGCGGACGCACTGTCCGACGTTGCACCGAGTGCGGGAGACGAAGTTGGGCACTGCCCATGCTCGCCGTCAGAACCAGCGAGACTTAGAGATTTTGGTGTCACTGGCACAGGGGTTATTAAGCACGGAAGTCGTTTCCATAAATTACAATGTCTATCGGACAAGCGAGCCTCGTTAAGGCAATAGTCAATTGGAACTGTAAATATCTTAATGGGGGAGGGTGTAACGGGGTTACACGAACATGATAACAGGGGTGTATGTCACACGAGATGTGCATGGTGTGACCACACCCAAACAAGAATA